TGTTTGTTCGATTTGTAGTAATTAACAGTGTCAGGGCTTGTGCTGTGAATTGCCATTTCAGGAGACCGGAGATATAGCATAAGTCAAGTCTCAGAGCACCAGGAAAGGGCCCCGAACCTGGCCATTATAATGTGCCATGAGATAAAAAAGCAGAGAGAGTCATGGCAGAGACTACTGGGACCTAATGCTTCCAGTCTATTACGCGCATAAGCTTTCCAAAACTATGTAGCCAATTAAATGATCAAAGGTCTAGGTAGAACATCATGTTAAAAATAGTGACCCTTTTAAGAAGAAAAATAGTCCCTGAGGCCTGGGAAGGAACCTAAATATAATTTTATAGCAGAGGGAACAAGAAGTGTCCTTGTGATGAGTCAGGAAGAGGATCGGAAGCCCCTCCGCTCCTGTGTAGACTGAGTCAATGTGGTGTTTATGGGGCCTTCCTCATTCCATGCCCCAGCCCCCACATGCTCTGTGACTTAGCGGACAGTTTCTTTACTCTTACTCCCCTTATCTGTAAAACGGGGTAAGAACAACTACCCACCAGAAGTTTGCAAGGATCAGATGAAACTACACATGTGAAACACTTCCCAATGTCTGGCCCAAGTTCATGCTAAAAAAGCACTGGTTTACCTCCAGGTCCTCGTACTCACCACCCCCCAAGGGAAGACACATTTCTGTTTAGGGTCATGCTCGCCAGAATCAGCTCACAAATACAATAAGTTCTAAAAATTTCTGATACCTTTAAACTGATTACCTTTTATAAGGAATTTTAAAGTGTCATTCTAAGTTTTAAAACACTAATTAAATTCACTATTCTAATAAAACTGTAAAGGGAAATTAAAATGGAATCAATTTTAAAGTTTGATTTTATCTAAATTTTAATGGTACCAAATACTATCTGTCTTTGGCAGTAGGAGCCATATAGATATGAATCCCAGGCGTATTAGATATGACTGACATTGAAATATGATCAGCTTCTTTGATATTTTTTAAGAAAAAATTATTTGAATAAAAACAGGACAGAATTATCAACATAAGTATGTGTTGCATTTTTTGTGACTAGTTAGGAAGCATAGTATTTTTAATTTTTTTAATGTTTATTTTTGAGAGAGACACACAGAGAGAGAAAGTGCACGTGATCAGGAGAGGGACAGAGAGAGAGGGAGACACAGAACCTAAAGCAGGCTCCAGGCTCTAGACTGTCAGCACAGTGCCTGACCTGGGGCTCAAACCCGCAGACTGCAAAACCTGAGCCAAAGTTGGATGCTTAACTGGCTGAGCCACCCAGGCGCCCCAGAAAGCATAGTATTTTTAGTGTGTTAATCTGAAAGATGAGAGAGAATGTTTTAAAACTCAAAATGATATGACTAACATTTGCCACAAACTTGGTAGTTATTAATATTTGGATAATAAAATTTTTTTAACATTCTCTATTTAAATTTTTATCACTTTGTTCTCCTAAAATTATTAAGGGCTAAATAAATATATTTTGGTGTGAGGAACTATAAAAACTTGTGAGGATTTCATCAGCTAGAAACAGAGAAATAATTGGTTCTCATACCCAGGATTAGCTGAAGTAGTTGAGTAAATCTTGCCATTGTACAGAACAGCAGGTATCTGAGGGACTGTTCTGGTGGCATCTAAGACTAAAAACTACCTTTAGTCTAGGTGATAAGGGTGGGAAGTTGAAAAGAAGTAACAAATTAGGTGAAAATACTCTTAACATATAAAATACAATAAAATGGTTAGTTTTCAGTCTATATAAAGAGCATTTACAAAGCAATAAGAAAAAGAAGCATGTGACAGAAACAGGACATTCACCAAAGAAGTGCAGTAGCCCCATCAGCATTTAGATTAACACAAAATAAAACAAAGGCAGATTGGCAAAATGGAAAAGTTTGATAATACATAGTGTTGATCAAGGTGCAGAAAAATGGCTTCTCTTCTGGTCAGTGTGAAAATTCTGGTCAATTGATTCAGCAACTTAAATACGTATTTGGTAAAATAAGAAATATGTATATCCAGGGGCCTAGCTATTTGACTTCTCCTTAGCTACTCTCAAAGACCTTTTGTACTTCCACACAATGTACTCACGCACATGTAAGCTTACTGCGGGATCATCTATAATTATGAGAGATTGAAAGCCAACTAAGTTCCCTTCAAGGCACAAGTGGCTAAGTAACGATGATGTATGCAGAACATATAGTGCGATACAATAGTGGTTATGAAGAATGAGCTAGAACTGTATGTGTTAATAGAAAAGAATCTCCATGACAGTCATGAGGGGAAAAAAATGTAGTAAAGCCTTATGAGGTGTCGTCATTTATTTAAAAAGAAAGAAATAAAACATTAGGTAATACTAAAAATTTCCTACAATAGAAGCTTTCAAACTCTTTCGGGAATAAATGAGCCTCAACACAGTACATATTTTATTTCACAACTAAGTGGACCTACTGTACTCAGTGCACTCTGAAATTATTCTATTCCGTTCCATGTCATTCCATCTCATTCCATTCCATTCCATATATCAAAATGCTGGTCATGAAATTGTTTTCAGGATTCAGTCACCATTGAAAAATATTGTTCTGAAGGTACACATGTATGTAAATGGATAGAAAAGTAACTGGAGGCTGATACCAGTGGTTACCTCTGGGGAGGCGCTGAAGGGTGGTGTTTCCAGGAACCTCAAGCCTTTTCTGCAATGCATAGGTTGTTTTTATGTTTGTTTTACTTGCTTTACATTGCACATGTGTAATTTTCAAGTTTACTTTTTTGGTGAATAAATCTAAACTATTATTTAAAAGTCAGAGATTTACTGGGTTGGAGGGAGTAGTGGTCAAAAGCTCTTAAGAAAATTGTAAGTTACATTGCATAACTGAGTAGTTCAGAAGACAGGCCTTCTAGCTAACTATCTCTGTTTTTGTATTTAGGGCCACAGATGAGCACATTCTTGTGGCAAGGTAGAGTCAAACCCGTGCGATATCCCACTCAAACTGTCATCACAGTCTAAGAACTCTCTGCCACGCTGTGAGATTTTTTAGCTCGTGAAATATATCCACATACCAATAACATAAAGGAGTCAGCACATAGATGATCAAAAAACAACACAAAACAAAAACCCTCAAACCCTCCAGTTTCAGAAAATGTGAAGTTAATGTTCCCGTAACACCCTCATCTTGGCCACATTACATGGTCTGCAGTTTTCAGTATTGGTCTAGAAAAACAAATAGATATGTTGTAAGAATCATTTGTACAGGAAACACCACTGTAGAAAATGATAGGACGTATGTGAACTTGGCTATCTCTGCAGGCTGGAGCAGGCCCTCCACGCTTGTGCTTTCGATTTTAAAGCTACCTTTCCGACCTAGCTTCACACTTTTACCCTAAGGGTAATTGGCTAAACCTCATCTTAATGGTCAAGTAATTGACGATTTACAGGAATTAGACACAGTGCCTAGGGGGGATAGATCCTTTAAATTTCAAACACTTAACCAAGGTATTAAATGTCGTAGATAAACTACGACTAGGTTATCTTTTATATGAATTTCTCAACTGAGTGTAAAGAAATATTTCTTTAAATAACATGTTTATTTTCTTTTTTGTGTTTGTGTCTAAATATAAATTTTCACATGCTTATAATAAAAAGAGTTGAATCCTTTAACAGCCACATTAAATTTTCTCTGTAAATGTTTCAAAAACAATTTTATGGTAAAATATGCAAGCTTTCTCAGCATTTATATAAGACTCGTTTCTCAGAACTTTAGCTGTTGCTAAAGCAATGATTATATTCACATTTAATTTCATATAGGCTCATGGTTGGATGGAGGAAAGAAGAGGGACTTTGGAGCTTTTCTTTTAAAGGGGGCAATTGACAAGCGTATTTTTTTTTTAATTTCTGAAAAAGAGACAGAGAGCATGAGCAGGGGAGGGTCAGAGAGAGAGGGAGACACAGAATCTGAAACAGGCTCCAGGCTCTGAGCCAGCTGTCAGCACAGAGCCCGATGCAGGGCTTGAACCCATGAACCGCGAGATCATGACCTGAGCCGAAGCTGGACGCTTTTACCGACTGAGCCACCCAGGCAGCCTGCCAAGAGTATTATTGGAGCAAGCATGCTATAAGTCAGAGGGAGGAAGGGTAAGAACAGAAGGAACCTGGGGGAGGTGGAGAGGATAACATACACCCACATATCTGAAGTCCTTCTTTAGTTTTTCTTTTTCTCCAATGTGGATCTGAGGGAGAGAGAGGGCAGAGGTAGCCTTGTGGTCAGTCTAGAGGTTAGGACCATTTCTTTAAACAGTTTTAAAGTTAAGAATGGATTAATTGTGCCTATGATATGTGAAGGTGGGGAAGCCACTCATATGCAGTTTAACACCAAGTTAGCCTCAAACTGTGAAAATGGAGTGGCAATATGATGAGAATTTAGGATAAGTTACAGATGTGTCTTATTTAGAGCTAGAGAAAATCCAGGTGAAAATTATAGCTTGTAATAATCAAGGGTTACAATAACTTTTAAACTCTTGATTATTCTAAATTATGTATTTTGTGCTTGTGCTTATTTTCCTCTGTAAGATTGCCTATTCAGAGTTTGTGTTAGTAGTTTTAATAAAGTCAGTTTTAAAATAGGATATTAAAGGCATAATGACTTCAAAATGTAAAAGCCTGATAGTCTGTAAACTGCACATATCTGAAGCCCAGTTTTTCAGAGGCCACAGTATCCAGTGGCAGCCTGATGTAATTGCAGGCAAAATTTCCAGGAGTATTTTAATTGTTGTAAAAGGTAACATTGTTATGTTACTTAGAAGTCATATAAGTAAAAGGAAGAAGTGCATACCACATTGTAAAATATGGAAGTGTTACAAGGCCTCTGAATATTATCTCATTGGTAGGATAAAGATTTTAGCTTAATTATTTTTTCAGAATTTTACCCCATTTTCTACTAATATCGCTTTTGAAAGAGAAAACCAGGATCTTGACTAACTGCAGAATTTATCGTCCACAGCATCTGCAGGGATTGCTGTTTCCCAGAGGAAAGTACGACAGATCAGTGATCCTATTCAGCAGATCTTAATTCAGCTGCACAAAATCATCTACATCACACAGGTCAGTATGCTGGCTTTTTAGTTCCTTTTCGTCTTAAGTACAAGTTTGATGCTAATGTCATTGAAGAACTACTGTGTGGAACTTTAAATTGGAACGAATGCTCATTTTTATTATCTCCAACTGCCTATGTTTGGGAACACTTTGACTTAGTAGCAGAGCTAGAGCTGGAAAGGTTGGGGGGAGAAAATATGGCAGATTTCCCCCATGACTCATAACGTACTCTTGTCCGTGTCCCACCAAAAATACATCTCAACACAAATGGCCCTTCATTGTGAGGGTGAAAGTGGGGACAGCGCTGGGTTTTGAACAGCCTCACTACAGGAAAGAAAAACTAGTGCCCACTCAGGAATCCTCAGGATGCTGGGCTGACACTAGGACCTCTTGGAGGAGCTAAGATGGTGAGAAGTAGGGGGACCAGGATTTCCCTTGTCCCTCACACACAGCAGTACTGAGGTCAGAACACTTGGAATACCCAGGAAGTCTATTTCCTGAGTGACAGAAAAAATCTTCACAGATGGAGGGAGACAGCTTGGGTGGGAGAGAGGTGCATGTATGTGAATTGGGGGAGATGAAACAGTGTGGGCACAGAGGGGCGGGATCCCCTTCTGTGGAGAGACGAAGAGAAAGAGAAGCTGTGGATTGCAGTTTTGTGTTAGGACAAGAGAAACCCTCTCTGCACCACAGACTGGGGAACGAGAAATAGGGACAATGCCAGTTTCTAGTTTGCAAACAGCCTTAGGACTGAAGATCAGAGTTTTCAAAAGTGCATGACTTTCTCCAGTGTGTGTGTTTGCCTGGAGGGGAGGGAGCCAGCCCCGGGGCGTGGTAGTGATCTCAGGGGCACACTGGGAGAAAACGGTCCCCTCCCTTGAGTACTGTGAGAAGAGGGTACACTGCCCCCCAAGGACAGAAGACCTTGCAGGTACCAGTCAAAGGCTCTTTATCGGCAGGGTGGACTGGTGCTACCCCAGAACCAGGTCTGCATGGTGTGAGATCCTTTAAGACACTGGGTGTTGAATCCCAGCCAAGGGACTAAGGAGGTGAGGGAGACTGTGAAGAAGGGCAAGCTGACCGCCCGCAATTCTCTGTGAGGGCGGCCTGAACAGCGTGGTTTGAGACACCCAGTGGGGAGGAGACATTGCGATGTTGCCATTTTTCTTCCCATCATCAACACATGGGGCTTCCGGGAACAGCTCAGTAGAGCCAATACTGGCGGGACTCACTTAGACCAAACTCTGCCCCTCCGTACCTGGTGACTGCTTATCTACTGCAGTGAGATGGACACTGAGCAAGTCAGATGGCCTCACCTCCTCCTGGCCAGCATAGCTGCCAGTCCCAGGCACCAACAGACAACTGTCTGAGGTTTTGTATGTTAGTCTGCAGCTCTCTTTTTTTCTCTCTCTCTTTTCTTTCCTTCTCTTTTCTCTTCTTTTTGTTTCTACTTTCATTGCTTTCTTTGTCTATTTAATCGGCATTTTTACTGTATTCTTTTTACACCTTTTCTGCATCTCCTCTCCTTCTTCTCTATTTTCCTTTCTTTCTCTCTGGATTAAGCCTTATAATTGGGTCCACTGCCCTTTCCTTTTTTCCAGAGTCACCTCAAGGAACAAATCAAAGCACACCTGGTGGAAAGTACAAACAATCCACCACTATGAGTAAAGAAGAGCTTTGTAGAGGACTGACCAATAGAATAGAGCAGCCAAATACACAACAACAGAGAGCACCCAACACAATCCAAAAACACTTCCTGAAGTTCCAGGCCCTGAACAGTGTGTGACCCCTTTTTAATACAGTAGTTCTCACAGGTGCAAGACACATAGCAAGCTATTAAAACACCTAAAAGACAGAAACATACCCAAATGATGAAACAGAAGAATTCTCCTCAAAAGAAATTCCAGGAAAAAATGACAGCCAGAGAATTGCTCAAAACAGGTATAAACAATATATCTGAACCAGAAGTTAGAATAGCAGTCATAAGACTAATAGCCAGGCTTGAAAAAAGCACAGAAGATGGAGAGAATTTATTGCTGCAGAGATCAAAGACCTAAGAAGTCATCACAATGAATTAAGAAATGCTATAAATGAAATGCAAAATAAACTAGATGCAGTGACAGTGAGGATGGAAGGAGCAGAGAGGAGAATAAGTGAAATAGAAGACAAAATTATGGAAAATGAAGAAGCTGAGAAAAAGAGGGAAAGGAAATTACTAGACCATGAGGGGAGAATTAGAGACCTAAGTGATTCAATAAAATGAAATAATATCCTTATCCTAGAAATTCCAGAAGAAGAAGAAGAGAGAGAAAGGGGCAAGAGGTTTATTTGAACAAATTATAGCTGAGAACTTTCATAATCTTTCCTAATCTAGGGAAGGAAACAGGCATCCAAGTCCAAGAGGCAGAGAACTCCCTTCAAAATCAATCAAAACAGGACAACACTCTGACATATCATAGTGAAACTGGGAAAATACAAAGATAAAGAGAGAATTCTGAAAGCAGCTAGGGACAAATGGGCCTTAACTTTCAAGGGTAGACACATAAGGGTAGTAGCAGACCTGTCCACTGAAACCTGGCAGGCCAGAAGGGAATGGCAGGAAATATCCAATGTGCTGAATAGGAAAAATATGCGGCCAAGAATCCTTTATCCAGCAAGGCTGCTAGTCAGAATAGAAGGAAAGATAAAGGCCTTCCTAGACAAAAACTAAAGGAGTTCATGACCACTAAACAAGCCCTGCAGGAGATCCTAAGGGAGATTCTGTGAGTGGAAAACAACAAAGACTACAAAGGACCAGAGACACCACCACAAACATGAAACCTACAGATAAACAATGACACTAAATCCATATCTTTCAATAATTGCTCTGAATGTAAATGGATGAAAAGCTCCAATCAAAAGACATAGGGTATCGGAATGGATTAAAAAAAAAAGACACACACACAAGATCCATCTATGTGCTGCCTGCAAGAGACTGATTTTAGCCTGAGGAAACCTGCAGATTGAAAGTGAGGTGATGGAGAACCATCTGTCATGCTACTGGATGTCAGAAGGAAGCCAGAGTAGCCATACTTACATCAGACAAACTAGATTTTAAAACAAAGACTGTAACAGGAGATGAAGAAGAGCATTATATCATAATTAAGGGGTCTATCCATCAAGAATAGCTAAGAGCAAAAAAAAATAGCTAACAGTTATAAATGTTTATGCCCCAAATGTATAGCACTGAAATATGTAAATTAATCAGAAACATTAAAAAATGCATAGATAATAATATCCTGATTGTAGGGGACTTTAATACTCCACTTACAGCAATGGACAGATCATCTAGGCAGAAAATTAATAAAGAAACAATGGCTCTGAATGACGCATTGGACCAGATGGACTTAACAGTTATATTCAGAACTTTTCATCTAAAAGCAGCAGAATACACATTCTTCTCAAGTGCTCATTGAACATTCTCCAAAATAGATCACATACTGGGTCACAAAATGGTCCTCAACAAATATAAAAGGACTGAGATCATACCATGCATATTTTCAGATCACAACACTGTGAAACTTGAAATCAACAACAGGAAAAAACTTGGAAAGCCCCCAAATACATGGGGGTTAAAAAACATCTTACTAAAGAATGAATGGGTCAACCAGGAAATTAAAGAAGAAATTTAAAAACACATGGAGGCAAATGAAAATGACAGCACGACAGTCCAAACCCTTTGGGATACAGCAAAGGCAGTCCTAAGAGGAAAATGCATTGAAGTTCAGGCCTATCTCAAGAGGCAAGAAAGGTCTCAAATACATAACCTAACCTCACACCTAAAGGGACTAGAAAGGTAGCAGCAAAGAAAGCCCAAAGCCAGCAGAAGGAGAGAAATAATAAAGATGAGAGCAGAAATAAACAATATAGAATCCAAAAAATATAAAATAAAACAGTAAAACAGATCAATGAAATTAATCTAAGAGCGGATTTTTTGAAAGAATAAACAAAATTGATAAACCCTAGCCAGACTTCTCAAAAAGAAAAGAGAGAGGACCCAAAAGATAAAATCCTGAATGAAAGAGGAGATCACAGCTAATACCACAGAAATACAAATATTAGAAAATGAAAAATTATATGCCAACAAACTGGACAATCTGGAAGAAATGGACAAATTCTTCGACATTCACACTCTACCAGAACTCAAATGGGAAGAAATAGAAAATTTGAACAGACCCATAACCAGTGAAGAAATTGAAACAGTTATCAAATACCTCCCAACAAATAAGAGCCCTGGGCCATATGGCTTCCCTGGGGAATTCTACCAGACATTTAAACCAGAGTTAATACCTATTTTTCCCAAGCTGTTCCAAAAAAAAAGAAATGGAAGGAAAGCTTCCAGACTCATTCCATGAGGCCACATTACCTTGATTCCCAAACCAGACAGAGACCTCACTAAAAAAGAGAATTACAGGCCAATATCCCTGATGAACACAGATACAAAAATTCTTAACAAAATATTAGCAAATTGAATTCAATAGTATATTAAGAGAATTATTCACCATGATCAAGTGGGATTCATTCCTGGGCTGCAGGGCTGGTTCAATTTTCGCAAATCAGTCAATGTGATATATCACATTAAAGAAGAAAGGATAAGAACCACATGATCCTGTCAATAGATGCAGAAAAAACATTTGACAAAATACAGCATCCTTTCTTCATAAATACCCTCAAGAAAGTTGGGATAGAAGGAATATACCTTAACATCGTAAAGGCCATACATGAAAGGCCCACAGCTAATGTCATGCTCAATGGGGAAAAACTGAGATCTTTCCCCCCGAGATCAGGAACACGACAGGGATGTCTGCTCTCACCACGGCTGTTTAACATAGCGCTGGAAGTCCTAGCCTCAGCAGAGAACAAAAGGAAATAAAAGGCATCCAAATTGGCAGAAAAGAAGTCAGACTTCCATTTTTCACGGACAACTGATACTCCACATGGAAAACCTGATAGACTCCACCAAAAAACTG